ATCCCCTCCAGTGGGCGTGGCCAGTCACCACCAAGGGAGGGGGAAATCCACCGTGGTGGGGCAATGGCGCCAGAAGTGGTGGGGGGGCCAGGTGGAGGGGGTTTGTTTTGACGCGCCATACGTGCCCACGTACTACTTAAATTCAATTTTTCAATTTCGCATCTTTCATTGTTTCTCTGTCGACTAGATTTGATCAAAGGGGCAGTCAGCGACAATAATTGCAGGAAGTGGCCGATTTAGAGATTGTTTCCTTTTTACCGATCGACTCTGATAAGAAAAGCAAGCCACGATTTTAATCACAGCCAGCATCCGATCAGAAGATCGCCCTTTCCCCCGGCACTCATTTCTCAGATATTACAAAATCAAATAATAACAACCTTAAAAAGTGACTCCGAACATGTATGTCGAATGCATAAACATCGTCGTATAGAAAAACGTCCTAAAAAGAGAAAAAAATACATCTATTTCGTTTAAATTGACCCTCGACGCTCGCGTTCTAATCGTAAGAACTTACGGCATCGGTGCAACGAAAGGTTGCGAAGAGCAGCAGCTCTCGCTCACAGAGAAGCGGAGCCAAGCAGGCCCATTATCAGCAGTCCCAACTACAGCGGACAATAGCTGCAATAACAATAATGACAATGGTGACAATATTGCAAAATGAATAGACAACATAAAAAAAAAATAAAGGTGATTGAGACATGTTCTCAGGTTCGAAGTAAAATTAAAATTGAAAACCAAGATAAAATTGGGCAGTTTGAACCAGTTGCGAGGTGTTGTGCAGTTATAAGTAAATTAAACAACTTAGTGTTTTTTATCCAATAGGATAAAAAAACACTAAGTTGTTTAATTTACTTATAACTGCACAACACCCCGCAACTGGTTCAAACTGCCCAATTTTATCTTGGTTTTCAATAAAAAAAAAACTTTTTTTTTAAAAATATTTAATGCAAAAAAACTTGGCGCGATTGCATCAAATTGCCGCACAAAGAAATAATTTCATTATAGTTGAGGAGCAGCTGCACCAAGGTTTTTTACATTCTAAATATTTTTTATATTTTTGGTGAGGAGCAGCCGCGCCAAGTTTTAAAACAGATAAATAAAAAAAGATAAATCGGATGTGTTGCCTGTGCGAAACTAGCACGTCGCGGTGGACTGCTCTGTGCTCACCACAATCGGAAGTATTGCCGGAGTCTGATTGTTCTGCAATTGTTTATTGGTTTTCTGAATTACTTGTCTACTTCATAAATTTATTAATTACTACGTTTTATTGTCATATAAAAATATATTTTTATTTCATTCTATTTTCATATCACGTGACTACTATTGCTAATGCTTTGCAATTCGGAAAACTTACCGAAAACATATTTCTCCAGAATTTTCTTTCAAACGAGAAAGATATATAGAGAGAGAGGGTAACAATTCTGTAAACTGTTTACAAACTTATATATTATGTAAGACGAAAATAATATAAATATAAATTGTATATATATGTATATAATATATATATATAAATATATATATATATATATATATATATTATTCATAATACTTAATTAAACCTTAAAGAATTAAATGTTAAAACAATTTTGAAAAATACACAAAATAAGTATTTGTTATAAATTCTACAAAAAAAGTAGCAACATTTTTATTAAAATGATTTACATTCAAGTCAAACCGTCATTATCATTTATACTCATGTGAAAACAGTCATATAAATACGATCGCACGACTACGTCTCTTGTTTACGTTTTACTTTGCTTTCGCAGCAATGTCAAATTCAAATTCTCAGTTGCTATTTGATTTCTCATAGCTACGTATCGGTATTCCCTTTATTACAGGACTTTTTATCATAGGTGGTAAATACTTTTACAACAAATGCAATAGATATTAAATCGGTCATAGTGTAACGTCACAAACTGTGTTTTTTATCATCGTAATGTAAAGCAGATATACAATGGCATATTCAACTGACTTGACAAGTGAAGCACCTACATGTACTGACAAGCAGTATCAATGCAAAGTAAGATGTTTTCTTTCTACAAATATATTTATAAACAAAATATAAACCGATTTATAAGATCACAGGCATATTTATTATCTTTATTCAGATATGTAATATTTTTTTTTTAAATACCACATTCTTGTGGGAGCATTATCAAACTCATTATAGACAAAATAATATATACGTATATAGTAAGTGTGAGTATACAACTAACCTTTCTCAGAATTTAAAGCATCATGCGACAAATGACCCCGTCGTGGACTATTGCGTGGCAAGTTTTTCAAAGATATGTATGACAACAATTATTAAAATAATTTATAGCTTGTTAATTTATACTGCTTTATTTTTTAGATATGTAATAAATATTTTTATACAAGTTCCGAATACAAAGATCATCAAAATGTTCATAAAATCCCAATGTCAAATATGTTTGCATGTGCAATATGTAAACAACAAAATTTTAAATTTTTTTCTACTCTCGTTGTCCATCACAAAACAATACATTCAGGTAATCGTTGCGAGGTGAGTGTATGACATATGTTTTCTCTACAAATGTATTTAGAAACGAAACAAAAAAGTATTTAAACGAAAATACCGATTTTTTAAATCACAGATGTATATATAATTCTTCTACTTTAGATATGTGATGTTGAGTGCGAAAACGCATCCTTGTCAATGCATTATCTCAAGTATCACAATAAAAATAATAGATTTGTATGTAATAAATGTGTTTCTACGTTTAATAATAGTCAATGCTTACAGCGGCATGCAATACGTAATCATTCTTATGTTGTTAAGTTTTGCTGGGTAAGGATTTTAAAGATATGTACAGAACCAATGATTAAAATAACATGTAGCGTGTAAGTAATTTATGCTGTTTTATTTTAAAGGTTTGTAACAACCATTTTTTTACAATGCACGAATACAGAGTTCATCAAAATGTTCATAAATCTATGACGTCAAACATGTTTAAATGTAGTATATGTAAGCCCGAAGAAGAATATATGTCTTTTCGTGACTTGATGAGACATCACAAAAGCCTGCATTTGAATACACCTTGCGACGTACGTTAGAAAAATAAAAATAAATTTTATGGAGTATAGTAAGAATACCAGTGTGTGTAATAACAGTAAAATTATACCAATTACATACAAGTTTACAGTAATCATAAACTGCTTTCTTCATATTCAAGTGTATTAAAAAAAATAATAAGATCGAAAAGTAAAAGCCAAACGCTGATTGTACGTGCAAAAAATTTTTTATTGTACAAAGTAATAGACAGTGTAAGTCAAATTCATATTAGTTCCAACAAAGTATATCCAATGCATAGATCACATTGTAAGACCAAATCTTTCTTGTTTACATTAGAAAGTTACAAACTACTTACGAGAATGTGTTTATTGTAAGATAATTGCGCAGATTGCGGCTTTGAATCTTGAGTAAGATGTTTCTTTTGGACTTAATTTTTACTTATATAAGCGGAAAATAACGTCGTTGTTATATGATATGTATACTAAAACTGCGTTGTAGATTTTCAAACTGATTTGTTTTGCAATTTGTAGTACTTTACACATTAAAAAATAGTTATGGCACGTACATTTAAAATATATAGTTTTTAATGATCTTATTATTTCTTTCATTATATATTTGTATACATTTTTATTACAATTTTGTGAAGATGAATGACAATACTTACAAAGAAAAGGAGGAGGTAAACGAACATCAATCTGTGTTTTTGAGACGGCTAAATACTTATGACGGACAGAAGATGAAGGTAGATGATCATCGATTTGTTCATTTGGTACGCCAAAATACTTATGAAGAAGATAAAGAGAAGATAGATAAAAATCGATCTGTTCAGTCCGCATGGCCATATTCATGTGGAATATGTGATGAAGAATATAATTTCTTTGTTTCTCATGTACTTCCTGTTCATTCAAGTGTGGCACTGCAACACGACTGTTCACTATGTACTGCAGCATATGTTAAGTTTCGGGACCTAAACTCCAAAGTATCCTCCATTTATGACAAAGAAAAGACAGAGGATGTATATGAACCTGTTATTATGCAATAGTTATTCGATTGTCAAATATGCTATGAACAATATGTGTACTTTTTTTCTAACGTACTTTTCCAAATGTAACTCAATATGTACAGCAATATGTATAGGAATATAAATTTAAACGTGACAATTGTTCGTAAAAGTTTACAGTAATCATATAGTGTAGCACATGCATTCATATATCTAAAAATCTTTTGAATTTTAAATATAAACTAAAATTAAGATGGTGTAGAAAAGTTTATAAATTTTTTTATTGCGTGAAATAAAGTGTTTGACAATATGTAGAAAGTAAATAGAATGTATAGACAATATGTAATAGTACTTTTATATGTAATATATACTATTAGTTTTATATTGTAATATATTTTATGTGTTGAATGTATTTATTTATAAAAATATAAACATATAAATATATATATGTAAAGATATTCATTGTATATATAAATATATATACATATAAATATATATATTTATATAATTGAATACATCTAAATGTATTACATTCTTAAAGATTATACATAGAAAATAATTAACGTATTATATGTGTATGCAATATTTTATTAGGAGTCATAAAAAATATAGAAAGAATGTAATACTGTCATATTATTACATGTTTTACAAAAACCAGTTTTATATTATATGTACACATGTAATATTGCATATTGTCTATATATTGTATTTACTTTTTATACATATTTTGCTTAATTTTCATAAAGATTTTTGATTATTCGAAAACATACATGTATACTTATTGTCTTATTACATTGTATAAATACCTATATATATATACAATGCCACTTGTAACATATTCTATAATGTTATATATTATCATGTAAAGTAGTATAATAAAATAAACCAGTATAGCAAACGTACAAGTGAAGCTTATAAGTTTAATGATAATCAATAAACTACACCAATTTCACACATCTTCAAAACAATATGTAAAATACCTAAAGTGATATGATTAAGTGATATATTTGTGAAAATCTTATATAATCGATTAACAAACTTGCATCAAAACGGTTGTATAGGCATAGTACTATACAACCCTCCCGCTAAAAAAAACCGATTCATCTTGAAGCGTTGACATGAGATGGATACTATGTAGGTTTTTCTTTATTGTTGAAGAAACTGTATATAATATAATTAAAGTAAATACTTTAGTACTACTAGTATTAAAGTAAGTGTACTATTAAAAGTTTAGCGAGCACTGTAGCTATTTTAGAAGTACGATACTATTATATATATTTAAACATTTTGTAGTACAATGTTTTTTATAATTAGATTTGAATACACTTAACAGTAATTGTCTATCCACAATATGTATATTAATTAGTATATTATTATAGTATACAAATACATTTTTATATACTTCTATTTTTATCTCACGTGATACTATAGACATAACGATGCACTTTAGAAACACTGAATTATCGATAACAAATTTCTCCAGATATTTTTATCAAAAGAGAAAAATCCAGATAAATGTGGTAAAAATTCTAATCATCATTTTGAGACTTCCATTTTATGTAATTCAGAAAATAATATATATATACAATACTTAAGTAAACGGTAAACAGTTAATTAAAACAATTTAGGAAACATACTTAAAATGAATATTTGGAATAAATTCTACACGGAGAATGACATTTTTACTTTTTCAAAAAAAGATAAAAATAGGCATCAAGTACACGCGCCACATTTATCTCTAAAAAAAATTATTACTATATTACTATACTACCTTGACACTCATTCTCTACAAAATCTAGTTTACTAAGAAAGTATATCAGAAAGTAGCGCCACATTTACACGCGAGTTATTCACTTCACATATGGAAGGTTAATTTTATAATAAATCAATTAGCATAGCTCTTCAAGGATAGCAATAATTATAAAAGTAATGTAGTAGTTACGTATTATTCAATAGAGCATTGAAGTAATTCTCGATATTTTTGAGAAATATCGTTAGATGCTTTTTGGCAAAAAAAAATACTGATAGTTTATTGACACAGTTCTAAAAGTACATTCTTTATAATTGTATGCTTAATAAAAAAAAGCTATTGAGTAGCAATCACATCAAACTGAAGTTTAGTTCAATATACCTGTCGGTGCAGCCGCGATAAGTATTTTGCATTAAATATGTTTTATTTTGGAAACACTTCGACATAGGTTTTCGACTTTTGACCGTTTTCTACTATTTCATTTTGTAGCAATGTATACTCCTACAAGATTTCCTTTGCGCTCCTTTCTAATATCATTTCTTTTGTAGACTAAATTTTGTAGTGAAAAAGTTTCTATGTAGTATACTAATATAATAGTACTTTTTTTAGAAATACGTGTGGAGCGTGTACATGGCGCCTTTTTTTTTTGAAAAGATAATTTTTTTCGGTACACTTTACAATACATAATCAAAAACAGGTTTTTTGTTATTGTAATAAAAACATCTATATTTAATCTTCTGAGACTCGACATGTTTTTGATCGACTTTTTTATTTTAAGAGCTAGAACTTTTTTGTCAATGTCATAGAGTTGAGTAGCGAAAGAGATGGCGTTATTGTCGAGTATCTAAAGAAACTTTCGGTCAGAAAAAAAATTACATTTCCCTTTTTTGGTTGTTTTTTAACAAAATATTATTAGATATTGTTAGAATACTTGTCTAACAATATTGTAGAGTAACAATTTTACAATTAACATATGTAAAAACATTTTTATAATACAATTATAGGTCAAAACTCGATAAAAATGCATTATATGTCTTTGTATCAAGTACATGTCAAGGCTATGTGAATTAATTTTTCAAATTACATCTGCATTGCAACGCGGTATGTAATAAAAAATTATTGAGAATACTTTTAGGAGGAATCGTCAAAAAATATTTCATCGATCGTTACACATTTTGTTTCATTTTGTGATAAAATTTACGGAACATGCTACTTTTACTTAGATATCAATGAACAAATCTGATGTTTTTTAGAGCAGTAAGTTATGTCCACTCAATAAAACACTTCTTTACACAATGTCTTGTGCACGATACGGTTGTCGAGAAACGTGTGCGCCCAAATACCCATAGAGCGCACGTCGGCTAAAAGCAGCGTTGCTTTCGCTCGTACCCCTCTATCCACTCTACTCACTAATATATGTACGGACATCAATTACAACATTTTTAAGCTAATTAAGAGCTGCAAACATTACAATTTCCAAAACATTATTTAAAAAGATTCAAAGTTTAAAGAAGCTTCCGATCCTTTAAAGGTTAAAGAAAAGTAAAGTGTTCTGAAATGTAAAACTACCAACGCAAAACAGTCAGTGAATGCCAAAACGCTAGATAATATTGAAAAATAAATAACTTACTACATTACAAAATTTTGGCGCGGCTGTATCAAAACCTATACATCAGACTGAACTGTAGGTTACTATATTTTTTTATGCAAACGCACCAAGTTGTTTTGCATTAAATATGTTTTATTTGGAAAATAGTCCCATATGGTAATTTTTTATTTTTTACATAAAAAAAGTTCATAGATGTATAATTTGACATGATTTAAGAGTTTCCACGCAAAGCTATTTTTCTAGGTTTCTAATATTTTATTGTCATACAATGTATAAATGTGCAAACTTTACATAACGCTACTTATTAATAGTATTTTCTTTCTAGAATAGATTTTGTAGAGGAAAAGTTTTTATGTAGCACAACAATATAATAATACTTTTTAGAGATATGAGTTGCGCGTGTACTTGGCGCTTTTTTTACTTTTTGTTAAAAAGATAATTTTTTTCGGTTAAATTATACAAAATGTTTTTGTTCCACACATTGCAAGTATACTGTGTTATAATAAAAACTTATATAAATTTGTTTAAGTAAAATACAAATCAAGCTGATAAGAAAGCACAAAAAGAATAGAAAATCTTGATTGTAATAAATATGTAATCAAAGAAAAGAATTAAAGTAGATAGTTGCGTATTACTATACGATTAGTTTTTACGCGATCAGTAAAAAAATCGAGCATATAGCCAGATTGGTGTTTGCGCATAATTACTTTCGTCACTGATTATATTACGTAGGTGGTTACAAAGTAAAAGTCATGTATAATTAATTATGAATCAAAATTGCATTTATAGTTCAGTTTAATAATAATTTATATTTACGAAGTGTCACGTATGTTGCTTGACAATGGTTTAAAAACTTATTTTACTGCAATGTTTGTACATTGAAAACAATATATAAGTAGATAAAAATAAGTATTTTTATCAAAACATTATTCGTATATTTGTCTAAAAAATAATACTAATATATATGTGTATATCTATTTTCATGAAATCTATATAAAACTTACAAAAACTTATTTCTTAAACTGTTTGATAACAACAAATCTTTTTATCAAAACGTACATACAAAACACGTGTATTAAATACTTGTATGAAAAGTAAGCACTTTTATTATATATTCATAAAATCTATATAAACAGTTAGTGTTTCTATACATACAAAAAAAAACATATATTAACGCGCTTAGCCAAGTACTCTAGTAGCGTCAATTTAAAAAAAAAGATTTAGTATTTGTATTCAGTTTTTAAAGTATTTTTATAATAAACGATTGAATTAAAATAAGTTTATCAAAATAAAGATTTTTGAAATCAAATGTTTTTGACAGACAGTACACTAAAATTAAATTCACATACAAGCAATATCTGTTGAAAATAGA